AGTCCCTAATCCTTGATTTTGTAGAAATTTCAGAACCCCAGCAGGGCAAGGTGGCTCATACCTGTAATCCCAGCACTTTGGGAGGTTAAAGCGGGTGGATAACCTGAGGTCGGGAGTTCGAGACCAGCCTGACCAACATGGAGAAACCCCCTCTCTACTAAAAATACAAAATTAGCTGGGCGTGTTGGCACATGACTGTAATCCCGGTCACTCGGGAGGCTGAGGCAGGAGAATCGCTTGAACCTGAGAGACGGAGGTTGCAGTGAGCAGAGATATTGTGCCAATGCACTCCAGCCTGGGCGACAAGAGCGAAACTCCATCTCAGAAAAACAAACAAAAAACTCCAGATCCCCCAAGAAGGGACTTTGTCTGTGTTATTATCTACTGTAACCTCCACCCTGCTGTAATTCAACTGTAGCCCGTATGCAGTAGGTGCTCAATAAGTGTTTCCTGGACCTGGCACACAGCAGGTGCTCAATAAATGTTGGATGGCTGCATGAATTCAAGCAGTGCCCCTGCCCCCATGTCTGAGAGCCACTGCTCTCTGATGGGTGACGTACATCTGGCTGCCCCCACCAACCCTGTCCTTGCCTGAGAGAGGGGAGGCGTCCCAGGAGGAAATGGGGGCGCACTCACCGATGTACTCCTCCACCTGGACATAGCCATCTTTGTTTCTGTCCAGGTCCTCCAGGGTTTCCTGGGAAGAGAGAGGCATTGAGGCTGAGGGCCGATGCCCCTGGCCCCTGGAAGAGGCTGCACCCCTGGGGTAAGAGTGTGAGGTTTTCTTGGAAATTTAGCTCCAGTCAGCCGTGGGGGCAGGCAGTAGGGCAGTCTCCACAGGCAGCACGTGGAAAATTTGGGGGCTTTCTGGGATGTTATGATGATACAGGCACTACCTGCATCCGGGGGGCGAAAGCCGGGGGTCCCCAGTGTCCAGCGATGCACAGGTGTGTCGCACACAGGGAGAGCTGATCTGGGTCCCTAAAAACTTCCTCAAGCCCCAGCAAACTGCCTCGAAGGGGAAAAGCTCCTTCACATTTAGCAGAGCCTAGAACCTACATCTGCTTGCCTGCTTGCTTTCTCTCTCTCTCTCTCTTTCTTTCCTTTCTTTTTATTATTGTATTTTATTTTTGAGACAGACTCTCGCTCTGTCACCCAGGCCGGAATGCAGTGGCTCGATCTCGGCTCACTGCAACCTCCGCCTCCTGGGTTCAAGCGATTCTCCTGCCTCAGCCTCCCCAGTAGCTGGGACTACAGGCGCGAGCCACGACGCGTGGCTAATTTTTTATTTTTAGTAGAGACAGGGTTTCTCCATGTTGGCCAGGATGATCTCGATCTCTTGACCTTGTGATCCGCACACCTCGGCCTCTCAAGGCCAAGTGCTGGGATTACAGGTGTGAGCCACCTCGCCCGGTCTATTTATTTTATTGTTTTGAGACGGACTGTTACTCTATCTCCCAGGCTGGAGTGCAAGCACACTCTCGGCTCACTGCAACCTCCGCCTCCCGGGTTCAAGCAATTCTCCTGCCTCAGCCTCCCAAGTAGCTGGGATTACAGGCACCTGTCACCATGCCCAACTAATTTTTGTATTTTTTAGTAGAGACCAGGTTTCACCATGTTGGTCACGCTGGTTTCAAACTCCTGACCTCACAGGATCCACCCACCTTGGCCTCCCAAAGTGCTGGGACTACAGGCATGAGCCACCACGCCCGGCGCCTACCTCTGCTTTATGTGTGAACATGGTGCACTTTGAGGGTTCTTCTGACACACTCGACACCTCTCTTCCTTGTTTTTTGTGCCTTTCTTTAGCAAAACGACTTTTGTTCCCCTCTATAAGTCCAAACTCATTCACTGTAAGACTGTGGGTCAGGTGCGGTGGCTCACGCCTGTAATCCCAGCACTTTGGGAGGCTCAAGTGGGAGGATCGCTCAAGTCCAGGATTTCAAGACTAGCCCGGGCAACATGCTGAGACCCTGTCTCTACACAAAATTTAAAAATTAGCCAGACATGGTGGCATGTGCCTGGTGGTCCCACCTTCTTGGGAGGCTGAAGTGGGAGGATCACTTGAGCCCAGGAGTTTGAGGTTGCAGTGAGCCGAGATCCAGCCACTGCCCTAGAGCCTGGATGACAGAGTGATGCCCTGTCTCAAAAAAAAAAAAAAGGAAGGAAAGAAAAAAACTCTTATTCTGTAGAACAAAGCACATTTTGGAGCCAGGTGCAGTGGCTCACGCCTGTAATCCCAGCCCTTTGGAAGGCTGAGGTGGACAGATTGCCTCAGGTCAGTAGTTCAAGCCTAGCCTGGCCAATATGGCAAAACCCCTTCTCTACAAAAAAAAAAAAAAAAATACTGGGCCGGGCGCAGTGGCTCACGCCTGTAATCCCAGCACTTTGGGAGGCCGAGGCGGGTGGATCACGAGGTCAAGAGATCAAGACCATCCTGGTCAACATGGTGAAACCCCGTCTCTACTAAAAATACAAAAATTAGCCAGGTGTGATGCACACCTGTAATCCCAGCTACTCAGGAGGCTGAAGCAGAAGAATTGCTTGAATCTGGGAGGCAGAGGTTGCGGTGAGCTGAGATCGGGCCACTGTATTCCAGCCTAGACAGTAAGAGCGAAGCTCTATCTCACAGAAAAGAGAAGATGATGAGGAACCACGTGGGGGGCTGAGGATTTCCTGGGGCCCAGCCGGGGTTGGGGTTCCTGAGGCAAGTCCGGGAATGCGGATGTGCCTCTCTGAGGGAAGGCTGGGGGCCTGGACCCCAAATGCGAGCGCAGGGAGGGGGAGGCCTGACGAGGAGACATCAGACCCCAGGGGTCTGGGAGTGGAGGTGGGAAAGGTTAGTGCCCGGAAGTAGGACCTGGGACCAGAAGCCTGGGTCCCCGGAAGGGTGTGGGGGCAGGGTCCTCAAGCTGCCACTCACAGCAATCACAATGTCCCGCATGTGAGGGAACTCCTCGGGGTGCAGGAAGGCCGTCAGCTCCTCCCGAGTGGCCATCGAGTCCCCATCCTGATCCGCCACCCGGAAACGCCGCTCGTCCCGAGCCAGCATCTTCTTGTAGGTCTCTGCGTCCTCCACGTCGTGAAATTCTTCACCTGGGGAAGGACAGGTCTCAGTGAGATGAGCTTTAAATGAGGAAGTGCCAAGCAGGTTAAAACAAAGACAAAGTAAATCCTACTTGGGGCACAAAGACTTCTGTGGAGTTAATAAGTATATATCAATAGGCCGGGCGCAGTGGCTCACGCCTGTAATCCCAGCACTTTGGGAGGCTGAGGCGGGCAGATCACGAGGTCAAGAGATCGAGACCAGCCTAACCAACATGGTGAAACCCCATCTCTACTAAAAATACAAAAATTAGCTGGGCATGGTGGCGCTCGCCTGTAATCCCAGCTAGTCTGGAGGCTGAGGCAGGAGAATCACTTGGACCCGGGAGGTGGAGGTTGCAGTGAGCCGAGATAGCGCCACTGCACTCCACCAGCCTGGGCAACAAGAGCAAAACTGTCTCAAAAAAAAAAAAAAGTATGTATCGATATGTCATATATAATTTATGTATATATATATTTATTATATAAGTATATAATGTATAATATATTATATAACATTATATTATTTTAATTTTTCTCCCTCTGTTGCCCAGGCTGGAGTGTGGTGGCATGATATCAGCTCACTGCAACTTCCGCCTGCTGGGTTCAAGTGATTCTCGTGCCTCAGCCTCCAGAGTAGCTGGCAGCCTCCAGAGTAGCTGGGATTACAGGTGCATGCCATTATGCCCAGCTAAGGATTTTTTTTTTTGGTAGAGACAGGGTTTCTCCATGTCTGCCAGGCTGGTCTCAAACTCCTGACCTCAAGCGATCCGCCTGCCTCAGCCTCCCAAGGTGCTGGGATTACAGGAGTAAGCTACTGCACCCGGACTATATAACATATGATATCCACACAATAAATTAGCTAACTTGTGACAGATTGTATGCTAAGCTCTTTATGTACAATATTGCATTTAATCATCACAAAAAGCATGTACAGTTTTTCCACTTACTGTACTTTTTTTTTTTTTTTTTTTGAGGGAGTCTCACTCTGTCGCCCAGTCTGGAGTGGAATGGTGCGATCTCAGCTCACTGCAACCTCCGCCTCTTGGGTTCAAGCAATTCTCCTGCCTCAGCCTCCCAAGTAGCTGGGACTACAGGCATGCGCCACCACGCCCAGCTAATTTTTTGTATTTTTAGTAGAGACGAGGTTTCACTGTGTTAACCAGGATGGTCTCTATCACCTGACCTCGTCATCCGCCTGCCTCGGCCTGCCAAAGTGCTGGGATTACAGGCGTGAGCCACTGCGCCTGGCCCATTTATTCTACTTTGTGAATGCAAGAACTGATTTTCAGAGAGAAGAAATAACTGATCCAAGGGTGTGCAGCCAGGAATGGTGGCCTTTGAGGTGACAGTGGCCCATGTGGCTCCAGACTGCCGCTGTGATAACAGGGACTCAGATGGTGTGACAGAGAGGAGGGGAAGGGCATTGTCATCAGAGGAGCATGTGAAGAGGGTAGAGGTTTGAGGAGTGTGATGGGTTCAGGAAGATCCATTTGGTGCAGAAAATGCAGAAAAACAAAGCTGCAGGTGGAGACATCCTGGCCGAGGAGTGGGACTGTCACCTGGGGGGCTGGGGAGAGCCATGAGCCAGGGAGGGGCAAAGTCAACGCTGGGTGTGAAGACCACCCCCTGGAGCCCTGTGGAGGACAGGCTGGATGGGGAGTATGGTGCCAGGGACAGAGAGGAGAGGAGGGAGAGAATAAAGGCTGAGTGTGGGGCGGGGGGTGGGGGGGGGGACACTGGGGCTGGGGCTTGGGACAGAAAGGAGGAATCTGAGAGTCAGGGGCAGGGTAACTGGCTTTGGGGGTCTCAGGATGAGAGGTCATGGAGGTCAGGGGTCAGGATGATGAGGCATTAGTCCCCTAGTCATGGTGTCATAGAGGCGGTGGGTCCCAGAATTAAAAACCCTGAAGGGAACCTGGGTAGCTCAGCTGGTAGAACTTTGGACTTTTAATCTGAGGGTCCAGGGTTCAAGTCCCTGTTTGGGTGTGTTCAGGGGCTTTTGGCACCTAATTCTGACTTCATGTTTGAAAAAAAATCGTTTTTAGCATGCAGCTAAATACCAGAAAAACAAACAAATATGTAAAACAAAGAAGAGAAGCCAGAAGTGAGAGACTGGGGAACTGAAAGTGATGGGGTCATAAAAGTGGGTAGAGCCTAGTCAGGGGTCAGGGACTCTGGGTAAATGGATTCAGGGTTCTCAGAACGAGGCAGCCCAGAAGGTCAGGGTCACGGTGTGTGGGGAGCAGGGTCGGGGGCTCGCCGCGTACCGGGCGCGTAGTGGCCATAGGTGGCGTTGCGCAGCTCCTCCCAACCCACACGCCCGTCGCGGTCCGTGTCGTACGTGTCCCAGGCCGCGCTCACCGAGTCCCGTATGTGCCGCTGCTGCGTGTGCGCGATCCACGAGCGAAGCTCGGCCAGCGACACCCAGCCGTCGCCGTCGCCCGCGCGGTCCATGCGGTCCACGATCCTCCTGCGAGCCGGGGCGGGCACATGTCAGTCCCTGGCCACGCCCCAGGCCACGCCCCTCGCACGGGGCCACGCCCCCGGCACACATCGGGTCCGGGACTGAAAATGCAGTCCACGGTCCGCGGACGAATGGGGAGGGGCGCGTGTCAATTTAGGACCAAGCCCACCGCAGGACCCCTCCCCTCAGCCTAGAATGCACCCCCGGGACGAGTCACGCCCTTCCCGAGAGCCCGCGAGCCGGGAGCACTGCAGGGGAGGAACCTACGACGATCAAGGGTCACCCTCTCCGCGCCGGCCCGTCCTCCGCCTGCACGCGCTGCACCTCTCGCTGGGCTGAGCTGGGGTGGGGACAGGGAGCACGGCATCGCACTGAGCCTCTCTCCAGGGAGCCCTATTCCAAGACTGACTCTGGGCCGGGCGCGGTGGCTCAGGCCTGTAATCCCAGCACTTTGGGAGGCCAAAGCGGGCGGATCACGATGTCAGGAGTTTGAGACCAGCCTGACTAAAATAGTGAAACCCCGTGTTTACTAAAAATACCAAAAAAAAAAATTAGCCGGACGTGGTGACAGGCGCCTGTAATCCCAGCTATTCGGGAGGCTGAGGCAGGAGAATCGCTTTAATCTGGGAGGCGGAGGTCGCAGTGAGCCGAGATGGTGCCACTGCACTCCACAGCCACGGCCACACCCCGCCAACTCAGGGCCGGCCCCGCCCCATACCCTGCCTCAGGCCCCGCCCCCATACCCCGCCCCGCCCCAGGCCCCGCCCCCTACCGGGAATGCGCGTGTCAATTTCAGGCTCCTTTCGCTGCAGCCTTGCCATGTGCCACGCACTGTGGCTTTCCCCGACCTGCTCCCAGCCGAGTCAGGCACTGCCCGAGGACCGTCACCCGCAACTCGGTCTCCCTCTACCCCTCCCCATGTTCCGCCGGGCTCCAGTGCCCCTCCCCTTGGCTTGTCAAGCCACTTTAGGTTCCATGTCGCCCCTTCTCTTGGGCCATGCCTGTTAGCTCCCTCGCCCCTCGCTCCTCCCTTGGTGGCGCCCTGCCAGGCCCCATCTCTAATTAACAGAGACCACATGGAGCCCTCCTCCCTGTCACCGTCCTCAGGCTCCCACGGCCCCCTCCCAAAGTTTGAAAATCGGAGACAGCAGAGCCTTCTCCAGCCCTGCCTGAGTCACCAACCCCACTCCCGCACCAGGCGGTCTCTGCTCGGGTCTTTCAGGGACTGTCTGATAGACTTTCTGCTCCGGTCTGTCCCGGGACTCACACCCTTCTCTGAGGTTCCTGCTGCTAAGAGTGTGGGTTTCACAGCCAAACAGGTCCAAATCTGACCATTTCTTCTTGCTGGCTGTGACTGTGGGCAAGTGACTTAACCTCTCTGTGCCTGTTACCCCTCTGTAAAATGGAGAGAAAATAATCGTACCTACCCTAAAAGGGCGGTTGTGGGGAATAAATGAGTCAGGCTACGTAAGCACTTAGGACAGGCCGGGTACAGTGGCACATGCCTGTAGTCCCAGCACTTTGGGAAGCCGAGATGGGCAGATCACTTGAGATCAGGCATTTCAGAGCAGCCTGGCCAATAAGGTAACACCCCGTCTCTACTAAAAATACAAAAATTAGCCGGGTGTGGTGGTGTGCACCTGAAATCCCAGTTACTCGGGAGGCTGAGGCGGGAAAATTCCTTGAATCCGGGCAGCAGACGTTGCAGTCAGCTGAGATAGTGCCACTGCACTCCAGCCTGGGTAACAGAGAGAGACTCTGTCTCAAATAATTATAACAATAATAATAATAATAGGCTGGGGCCAGGCATCGTGGATTGTAATCCACGCCTAGAATCCCAGAACTTTGGGGGGCCAAGGTGGGCGGATCACCTGAGATCAGGAGTTCAAGAGCAGCCTGGCCAACATGGTGAAACCCAGTCTCTTCTAAAAATACAAAAATTAGCTGGGCACAGTGGTGGGTGCCTCTAATCCCAGCTACGAGGGAGGCTGAGGCAGAACAATTGCTTAAACCTGGGAGGCAGAGATTGCAGTGAGCCGAGATCGCGCCACTGTGCTCCACCGCGGGTAAAAGAGTAAGACTCTGTCTCAAAATAATAATAATAATAATAATAATAATAATAAAGCACTTAGGACAATGCCTGGCATTGCCATTAGTGCTAAGCTAACTGTGCTAACCTATCACTGCCCTTCCTTCTCCATCCCTCCTTTCCCCATGCCCATCCAAGCACAATCTCCCAGCCAGCAGTCCTGGGGCCCACTGCCAGTGTCTCCGCGCTGCTCTGGCCACCATCTTGTCTTGCCTCCTCCTGGACTATTGCAGTTGCCTCCTCACTGGGCTCCCTGCTTCCTGTTCCATACAGTTCCCCACACTGCAGCCGGCAGGATTCTCTCAAAACCTGTCAGCTCACGTTCTTCAGTGGCTCTCCTCTCAATCGGAGAAAAGCCTAAATCTTCACTGTGGCCTAAAAGGTTTTGCATTGCATGATCTGACCCCCTTTGCGTGCTCTCTCTCTCTATCTCTCTTTCTCTTTTTGAGACAAGCTGTGGCTCTGTCACTCAGGCTGGAGTGCAGTGGCATAATCTTGGCTCACTGCAGGCCCAAGTGATCCTCCCACCTCAGCCTCCCTAGTATCTGGGACTACAGGTGCATGCCACCATGCAGGGCTAATTTTTGTATTTTTAAATTTTTTTGGTAGAGACAGGGTCTCACTGTGTTGCCCAGGCTGGTCTTGAACTCCTGGGCTCAAGCGATCCTCCAGCCTTGGCCTCCCCAAAGTGCTGGGATTACAGACATGAACCACCATGCTCAACCCCTTTGCTCCCTCTCTGCCCTCACCTCCCACTCTCTCCCCTTTCTCACTGAGTTCCAGCCACACCGGCCTCAGAACTGTCACTCAGACACTCCAAGCTCACTCCTGCCTCAGGGCCTTTGCACTGAACTGTTCTGTCTGCTTGGAATGCGATTCCCTCAGAAACCCACATGGCTCAACTACCAAATACCGCCTTTTCATGGAGGCCTTCTCCAACTTCCCTGTTCAAAATTGCAGCTCCAGCTGGGTGAGGTAGCTCACGCCTGTAATCCCAGCACTTTGAGAGGCTGAGGCTGGCAGATCACTTGAGGTCAGGAGTTCGTGACCTGCCTGGCCAAAATGGTGAAACCCCGTCTCTACTAAAAATACAAAAATTAGCTGGCCATGGGCCAGGTGCAGTGGCTCTCTCCTGTAATCCTCCCGCTTTGGGAGGTTGAGGCGAGTTGTCTGCCTGAGCTCAGAAGTTCGAGACCAGCCTGGGCAACACAGTGAAACCCTGTCTCAACTAAAAATAAAAATAAAAAATAAAAACAATTAGCCAGGCGTGGCGGCATGTGTCTGTAGTCCCAGCTACTTGGGAGGCTGAGGCAGAAGAATTGCCTGAACTCGGGAGAGGTTGCAGTGAGTTGAGATCATGCCACTGCACTCCAGCCCAGGTAACAGAGTGAGACTTCATCTCAAAAAAAAAAAAAAAAAAAAAAGAAAGAAAAACAAAATTAGCTGGGCATGGTGGTGTGCACCTGCAATCCCAGCTACAAGGGAGTCTGAGGCAGAAGAATTGCTTGAACCAGGGAGGCAGAGGTTGCACCAAGCCAAGATTGCATCACTGCACTCCTGCCTGGGCGACAGAGCGAGACTCCATCTCAATAAATAAATAAATCAAATTGCAACTCCCCCACCAATAATCTCTCCCCTCCACACTTTCTGACTCTCTTGCTTTATCTCCATTTGATCCACTTTTTACTTACTGCCTTCCTGCTGTTCTCCTCACCACAGTGTAAACTTCAGGGGGACAGAGATTTCTGTCTGTTGTGTTAGCTGTTGTGACTTCAGCACCTTGAGCAGTGCCTGGTACATAGCAGGTGCTCAATAAAGCTTTGTGGGCTGAATAAGCAATGGGGGATGCATAGATGAAGGGGGCTGCTCCTATCGCCCCCTCCCACCCACCGCCCTCAGGCCCTGACCCTCTCACCCTGACAGAGAGGGTGGACAAGGCTCCATTCTAGCCAAGTCACCCTGAAACTCATGGCTCCGCCACTTTCCTGCACTGGCTGGGCTCCTTACATGCCAAACCTCATTTTCCACACCAGTCCCTACCACTTACAGAGCAGGAAAGGGGAGGGGAGATGTCTGAGACAAAGCAATAAGGAGTGCTTGGGGCAGAATCTAAACCCAGATTTTGCTGCCCTCAAAGGTCCCTTTTTTTTTTTTTTTTTTTGAGATAGAGTTTCGCTCTTGTTGCCCAGGCTGGAGTGCAATGGTGCAACCTCGGTTCACTGTGACCTCTGCCTCTTGAGTTCAAGCGATTCTCCTGTCTCAGCCTCCCAAGTAGCTGGGATTACAGGCATGCGCCACCACGCCCAGCTAATTTTGTATTTTTTTAAGTAGAGATGGGGTTTCTCTATATTGGTCAGGCTGGTCTCGAACTCCCAAGCGCAGGTGATCCGCCCGCCTCTGCCTCCCAAAGTGCTGGGATTACAGGCGTGAGCCACCTCGCCTGGCCCTTCAGGCCTAAATTTTAACTTAATTTGTTTTTCCCAGGGAGAAAAGATAGACTTTGATTTCTCATAAAGAACTGATGTTCAGTTAATGCCATTTCTCTGACCCGTCAATCCCCCCGCGCCTCCCTCCCAAGCCCCACTTCTGAACACGCCCCACCCCCGTGTCTCTCCTACCCCAGACGGGCCTGGCTTTCCTCCGGGGTGAGTTGGTCGAATTCCTTGGCCACTTCCCGTCCCAGGAAAGCCTCATGGTCGTACTGGAAGTTCCCGTGGGCGTCATCATGGGGGGCGTCGCTCAGCGGGGCCGCCTGGTGCACCCTCCCCTGGCCATGAGGGCCTGCGTCCGGGGACGGCTTCCCCTGAGCACCGTGCCTCAGTAGCAACAGAAACAGCAGAAGCGATGGTCGCCACATCATTGGTCCCTGGGGAGTGGCACAGGTCAGGGGTCAGGGGTCAGGGGTCAGAGGGATGAGGACAGGCACTGGGCAGGAGGATGGCGGGGTGGAGGGGTTACCAAGGACAGGACCCGGAGATGGAAGTTGGCTGCAAACTTTTGGGCTCAAGAAGGGCGGGCGATGGGGGAAAGGAGGGCGGGGTGCTCAGAGGGAAAACCACCTACGAGGAGGACCGAACCTTCTGACAGAGGCTCAGGGGGGTCCCAGGCCTGCGAGAGGGAATTTCTGGGAGAGACGTGGCACACATCCCACGCAAAGCGCAGGGCATGGTTGTGGCCAGCGAGAGGTCAGGCAGGCTCCCCGTGATTGCTCCCAGTGCGGACCCTGATCCTCTACCCGAGCCACCCCAAGCCGCCGGCCCTGGACAGACGCCCCCCAACCCGGTCCCTTTACCCCGTTATCCAGCTTCGCTCCGCTCTCCACGCTTCGCTTTGCGTTCCCGCAAATATGCCCAATTCAGCCGCTCTCCAGTCAGGCCCCGCCTCTGGCAGCGCAGAGCCCCGCCTCCCAACCAATGAGCTTCCACGAGCACCCCCCCAGGAGGCGGGGCCAGTGAGCGCAGGGAGGGCCGTGGGCGCCCCTCGCCACGTCCACAAAGGAAAACGCGGCCTGACCCTGGAAGGTGGGTGGGCGACGCCGCAGTGACGCGGCCGGGGTGAACTACAACTCCCGGCAGGCGTCGCGGCACTCTGCCGTCCAGCTCCAGCTGCTCTAGCCCCAAAGCCTCACGGGAAATGTATTTTTCCCTCTTTCCCTTTGTCAGGATGGTTTAAGAAAGAGCTGTACTGGCCGGGCGCGGTGGCTCACGCCTGTAATCCAGCACTTTGGGAGGCCGAGACAGGTGGATCACGAGGTCAAGAGATCGAAACCATCCCGGTCAACATGGTGAAACCCCGTCTCTACTAAAAATACAAAAAATTAGCTGGGCATGGTGGTGCGTGCCTGTAATCTCAGCTACTCAGGAGGCTGAGGCAGGAGAATTGCCTGAACCCAGGAGGCGGAGGTTGCGGTGAGCCGAGATCGCGCCATTGCACTCCAGCCTGGGCAACAAGAGCCAAACTCCAACTCAAAAAAAAAAAAAGAGCTGTATGTTCCAATGTTTTTAAATCTAAAAATAAAAAAAAAAAAAAAGGAAGAGCCGAATCAAGGGGCCAGGGGAAAAAACATCCTATTTCCTCCCAGAGGGAACAGTGCTCCTCACTCCTCTTCTGCTCCAAGGATTCAGGTGGTTAGATACTAGCCGATAATTCCTCAAAATGCCTGGCACGGAGTCATCCAGTAAATATTTGTAAAATTTATGAATTGAAAATACATGGCCGGACAAGAGCGGTGGCTCACGCCTGTAATCCCAGCACTTTGGGAGGCAGAGGCGGGCGGATCACCTTAGGTCAGGAGTTCGAGACCAGCCTGGCCAACATGGTGAAACCCCATCTCTACTAAAAATACAAAAATTAGACAGGCGTGGTGGTGGGCGCCTGTAATCCCAGCTCCTCGAAAGGCTGAGGCAGGAGAATGGCTTGAACCCACAAGGCAAAGGTTGCAGTGAGCCAAGATTGCGCCACTGTACTCCAGCCTGGGGGACAAGAGGGAGACTTCGTCTCAAAAATAAAAAAAATAAAAAATACATGGCCTTGGGCCGGGTGCAGTAGCTCAATGCCTGTAATCCCAGCATTTTGAGAGGCCAAGGCGAGCAGATCATTTGAGGTCAGGAGTTCAAAACCAGCCTAACATGGTGAAATCTTGTCTCTACGAAATACAAAAAATTAGCCGGTGTGGTGGTGCATGCCTGTAATCCCAGCTACTCGGGAGGCTGAGGCAGGAGAGTCACTTGAACCCAAGAGGCAGAGATTGTGGTGAACTGAGATCACACCACTGCATGCCAACCCGGGCAACAGAGCAAGACTCTGTCTCAAAAACAAAAAAAGAAAATACATGACGTGAAGTATAAAACCGGCAGGTTCCTCATGGCGGCATGTTACCAGCAGGAGAGCTCTGAGGCCCAGCCATTCAGTCCCCATTCATTCCCTTACCTCCCCTGCCTGAAAAATGATGAGAACACACTGATTCGGGCCTAAACTCGTGTTATATTGTCAAAGTGGAAAACAGCTGTGTGTTAGGAGGGGAAACTGAGGCAGACCACAGGACAGGGCTCCAGAGGACAACTGGGCCCAGGACTCCTTCCGGAGGCTCAGAGATGCCAGTGTTCCAGGAGGTCTCACAGCATGAAGGGAGCCTGACTGCATTCACTGTTAGCGGTCAGAAGGTGGATGGTCAGGCAGTGGCTGGGGTCACATTTGCATCCTTCCAGTCAGCATCCTGGGCCTCCCCCGGGGTGGGCAGGAGGGCCCCGGCATCATCTCCACGGAGGGAGATCCAAGGGGCTGAGGAGAGAGAGGGGGAGATCATCGGAATCTCTGAGGCGCTCTGGATCTGTCTGGCCTGCCCCATCTGTGTCGCATGCTCTCCCTCAGTCTCTGTCCCCTTCCTTCTGGGTCTTTGTCTCCTCTTCTCCCAATTCTTTGTCTCCCCTTTCTACATCTTTGCCGCCCTCTCTGGGTCTCTGTCCCCCTCTCTCTGGGTTTCTGTCCCCCTTTGGGCCTCTGTTCCCCCTTTTTTGCTTCTTGAGATGGAGTCTCACTCTGTCACCCAGGCTAGAGTGCAGCGGTGAAGTCTCCGCTCACTGCAACCTCCACCTCCTGGATTCCAGGGATTCTCCTGCCTTAGCCTTCTAAGTAGCTGGGACTACAGGCACCTGCCACCACGCCTGGCTAATTTTTTGTATTTTTAGTAGATAGGATTTCACCAGGTTAGCCAGGATCGTCTCGATCTCCTGACCTCGTGATCTGCCTGCCCGCCTCAGCCTCCCAAAGTGCTGGGATTACAAGTGTGAGCCACTGCACCCGGCCTCTGTCCCTGCCTTTGGGCCTCTGTCCCTGTCTTTGGGCCTCTGTCCCCCCCTTTGGGCCTCTGTCCCCCCCTTTGGGCCT